ACGCCAACAAATTTCTCATGATCTTTTATCAGGGATCTACTTAATATCCAGGACAACTTAGGCCTAATTATAGCTTACTAAGCTTTAACTATATATACTATATTATGATCAAAAAATCACAACTTTTGTTCGCATTTAGCACAATTTTGTTCTCTTTTTATTGTTATTAATATTAATATCAATTATTTCTCTCGTCATCATCATCATCATTGTTATTATTATTATTATTATTATTATTATTACTATTAGTAGTAGTATTATTAAACAAACATTTAAAGAAACTTGCAAAAGGATAAAAACGAAATTGAACCACAGTATCGCATTTCTATCTTAAAAGACCTGGCCTGAGATTTATGGATTTAAGATTTTTTATTTATGGATTTAAGATTTTTTTAAATCACGCTTAGGCTTATGTGTTCTATTAGGGCTATGTATAACGTGTACTGATGCATATTTACATGTTTAGAAGTATTCATTTTGAGTGATCCCAGGAAAGAATTTGTATTGGCTCAAGAATAAGCTTTAAAATTTTAACACTGTGTACAAAGGGGGGAAGCCGCGGCTCCCACGGCTCCCCCCCCCCCCTGGATACGTCCCTGTTTGCACTGCTGACTCTCAGTTTTGCGCTGCTGCCAATTGTATTTTGTCCTTTTGTATGGAACGCCAAAAGGACAAAATACAATTGGCAGCAGCGCAAAACTGAGTCAGCAGTGCAAAACTGAGAGTCACCAGTGCAAAACTGAGTCACCAGTGCAAAACACAGAGTCACAGTGCCAAGTAGTGCAAAACACAGAGTCACAGTGCAAAGTAGTGCAAAACACAGAGTCACAGTGCAAAACTGAGAGTCACAGTGCAAAACACAGAGTCAGCAGCGCAAAACTGAGAGTCAGCATTGCAAAACACAGTCACAGTGCAAAACTGAGAGTCACAGTGCAAAACATTGGTGGCAATGCAAAACTCCAATGGCAGTGCAACTCAAGTGGACGCCCTCTATTTTGAATTAAAGTTTCACAGCTTTGGACGATGTCAACAAATAAAATAGATGAAATAGATGAAATGTCACTCCTTAGTGACCATTGACAATTTTGAAAGAGGGGGGGGGGGGGGCGTG